CGGACTGCTACGCTAGCAAAGCCTGACTGACTCAGAAATCTCTATGGCAGATTCTCCAACATCTAGCTTGACTCCCAGAACAAGATAAGCTATAGCCCAGCTATAGAGGAAACAGAGGTACAGCACGGAACACGTTTATTCAGTGAGTATATTGCGGTTAAGTGTACACGCAGGGAGCTTAATCTTGATCAGGATGGCGGGTTAGGTTAAATAATCAGAGGTTAATGATTGGTCACTGTTTGTACGGTCGCTGCACACAGAGTTGTACGGCCGCACCTCCCAATCCTGGCGTGCTGGCATGCGATGACGTGTCCCACATCTGACACAGTTGTTACTCCTGCTTTCGTTAAAAGTACTTAAAACCGAATTTCGTTCAAAATAAAATTTATTTAGGAGATAAGTCAAGAATAATATCGTTGAATATTGCTCAATCCTAATGACCTCTTACTGAAAATAATCTTCAACTTCCCTCGTTCCTTCTAAATAAATAACCTAAAAATTATTATCGGGTAAATTTTAGTCTGAAACTTACTTTTGGATTTCTATTTATAAATCTTTCAGATGGTTTTGAGACCCCCAAAATAAACCAGAATTACACCCCTCACAGTGACATATTTCGCAACGTGTCTTTATAAGTTGATAACTCACAAAAATATGATGATATCTTTAAATATATCCGATTTACAAAATTAGACCCTGTAAGCCACTTTAAATAAACTAATTGTAACATTCAAATCAGTCTTTAAGAATTATTAAACAAAATTTTGCCTGCTAGTTACATTATGGAGAAAACAAACCCGTTTCTGATTTGGTAAATTTGACTAATCATATGCATTCTCCATTATAATAATCGACGTCTTTTGCCGTTTGAAGTTGCCAAATATTACAAACCATTGGGGGGAATTCTCAGGACTTTTGAATTAGTAGCAAGAAAGTGACAAAGTATAGTAATAAAATAATCGAATGAAATATTTGTCATATTGACATCTATCTATCGTACACCCCTTGACATACACATTGACACAAGTATTTTTCTGGAAATATCGAGAAAATGGTAATAGAAAATAGAAAATGCGAAAGAACTTTCATAATGGTATCTTAGTAGCTGAATATCGACACTCGTTTTACGTGAATAATTAATTACTGCAGGACATTTTAATGATTTTGGGGAATAAATGGTGACTTACTGCTCACTTGATTATTAAAAGCTACATACTCTTTGGAAGTAGATTTCTCACGAAAAAAAGAAAAAAAAATAAAAGAAATAGGTGACGGACTTACTGAGTCATAAAAGACTTATCTCATTTTATGAAGGCAACGTGGAGCACTGCTTCAGTGTATTAAAGCGTCACTATACCATAAGATATATTTCTATTTTTTGGTAATTTTATGTCCTTTTCAAGGACTTCTAACGAAGAAAATGCGGAGGCTGGCTAAAGCATAAAATAAAATTTTTAGAATATGTCGTGGGATTTCGCATTTTACGCAGAGATTTTGATTGATTCCGCTCAAATTCATCGATTACATTCTCCCTCCCTCCCCCCCCTTCATACACACTCCTCTTGTGTCATTTTAACTCTGGGAAATCGGATCTAGAAACTGCGGATTAATCTCAATATTAATGATATCACCTCTTAAAATTGAATATTAATATTATTTTCGCGGAGGAGGCACTAGATTTTGACATCATTAGAAGTCTGAGTCCAACTTTGTCCAAAATGTTGTTTACATTCAGGTAATAGTGACCAAATGTGCTTATACTCCGACCAGTTACAGAAAATGTATGCTTCCAGTGTTCAAAGTCGTATTAGACTACGTTTTTTAGCGTTGGTTGCAACGAATCTCGCGTCAATTTCGATATATTGCGCAATCATTAACTAAAGCCGGAACATAGTAAAATGTCACAATCGATTTTTAGTGGCCATTATAAGACTCCTATTTGATCCAAAGGGATACTTTTTCTCTCAATTAATTTAGTTCAGGTGAAGTTACGAGGCCACTTAAAATGAGCTTACTACTGCTAAGAAACGATATTTTTAGTAATAAGATGATATATTGAAACTGATGAAGTGCGAAATTATCGTGTCTTTAATGTAACAGCTGATTCCCCATTTCACTCAGAACCAAATCCAGGTGCCATGTATGTAACATTGCAACTCGCTGACCAATAGAATGTGAGCCAAGATCAGTACATTATCTTCATAAGCATCATTATCATCATTCTTATGATCATTCAAGAAGATCTGACAAAGTGGTGTTCATTTAAACAAGTCAAAATATCGGTAAAATCATAAATTTTATTAATAAATCCAAATAAATAAAAAATTATCTGAGTAGAATATAGATACATGATTCAATAATTGATGAGCGGGTGCAGAAGGGAGTTGAAATAATTGTAAAAAAACGGCGTATAAAGAATACATTCGAAGTAATGTCATGCCTCCATTGGTTGTGTACTACTAATAATAAATGCTGTTTTTGGGGTTTATACATTCCATTTTGCGATAATTATTATTAGTTGATGAACTGATATGTATCGGGGGAGCCTTCTATCCGCCTCAGGATATTTCGGGAATAGTAAGACCTATAAAAAACAGAAGTCATCTAAGATATTATTCATATAAAATATATTGAGGCGTAAAGCCGGTTGTGGGGGGGGGGATTTTAGTTACCTTAACGAGCGTTTGAAATGATCTGCATTCATACGGGGTCGCTTCTTGATTTGGCCCCAAATACTTGCCAGGGTGTTGACATTATTCAGACGGAATGTAAGATTTTCCTTTGAAATCCACTCAATTAGACATGGGTTGCATTGATCATTACTCAAGCACATAAGTAAGAATTGCCACAAAACAGGTGTATTTCTGTTCTTCAGGTAGGTTTCTGTAAGCATTCAAAGGGTCATGCTTAAGGTTTTATATGCATGAAGATATGCAAGACATCATTTCATGACGTGAGTCACTCACCGTTGAAACTAGAGTTTTCCCGAAGGAGATTGTATAAGCGCTGATCTTCTAACTTTTCAAAATCATCATCAGCTTGATCGTCATTTCCATAACTAGAACCACTGCTAATACTTCCGCAGTCACTGTCCTTTAAACTCACGCCACGTTTAATCGAAAGATCCAGTGGTTGATCAAGCTGTTCTTCAAGATAACCTCCAGTATGGAGACTATTGAGGAACATGAACAACCCTTCAGTAAGAACTAAAAGAGGCAAATAAGAAATATCTTAGTTAAGTTGGGTGATTATAAGTAAGGTGTGTCATATATGGTGGGCTTTAGTGAGTGTGAGTGTGTGTGGGATATCAAGGTACAGGTGGCATCACGTACCGCTTAATGAGTTGTTGCTGTACATTGCTGTTGAAAGTGATGCCGAAGAGCGGTAGCGCTGTTTTTTATATAGTTGCTTAGATGTCGTGGGGGTGGTGACTGCTCGAACCTATTCTTAAATTTAACAAAGCTTCCAAATTTGTGAGACGTTTGTGCGACGTGTGTGCGCGTGTGTGCAGGTGGGTGAATGAATAATTGCGTGCGAGTACAGTCAGAAATGATTCGCGATCCCATTTCAAGTAATTGTTTAGTTGGCACAAAGGCACTTCCTATTGGTTTCTGAGCGCTTTCAAATTATATTTTTTTACCAAAATAGGTTAAGTGAGCTTTATTATCACTTCCATTGTGGTATAGTTTATTTTTAAGCCCAATTAGTGGCAAAAATAATATGAGTAGATAAAATACATGTTTTTTAGCAATGCATTGCTTAATTAAACTTATATGCAATTAGTTTTTGCAATTTAATGAAATTCGACCTCATAAACGATCTATTTTACTGCGAAAACAGGATGTTTCTTGTGGGGAAATTTGTTATTTGTTTTGAATTAAGTTAATCCAAAACGATAGTTAACGAGATAATAAACAAAACCGAAGCAAACAATGGCGATTTGCTGTGCCTTCTAACTCTTCCAGTAACCATAATTCCATTTTAGTCATTGAAATAATGTAATGAACCCGGCTAATTTGATCAGGAGTTCTACATAAGGCGAGGCTTGGATGAACAAAATTTAATGAAGTAAGGGAGAAGAAAAGTGAACATGAAGACTCCACTCTTAAGGCCCCATCTCCTCCATCTTCACTGCGGTTGGTACAACGTTGTCCCCTACGCTCATATGGATTAAGAGGTTGGTCTTGAAGGTGACTCGGAGTCAGTTGAACTAGGCGCTATAATTTTGCTTTGCTCTTCCAAATCATTAATTTTTCTATTTACACCAAACGGCGGGCTTTATGATAGTTGACACTAGTCATTTAGTTGACTTCGGGCTTCACAGAGGGGGTGGAGAACATTAAAGTCACATAAATTCGAGGGGGTGGGGGGAATAGAAGAGTGACTCACAGATGTAAAAGATACAGACACGAAGGTAGAAAAAAGGTGAGGTGAGTACTGTGGAAGTGGTCAAATATGGCATACAGTGGGATCATGGTAGTTTGAATTGAGAAGACAACTGCCGCTTAACAGACTTGTTGCCATATGAACACACGTTGCCCACTATGCTCCCTCTCTTCCCAATCATTAATTTTATAATTCCTCAATTTGAACTACTATCTGAATATTTCCAAAGCTCTATTAATAAAATTAAGTTAACCCATGAATAATATATGAATTAGATGTTTTTTTTTAATTTAAATTATCATAGTGAAAAGCTTCTTTTCTTTATTGATTGATTTAATAAACACAACAGTATATTTGTTGAATTTCCTGTAGAAGTTGGTTATTTAATGTAATCATGTTAGATCTTAAAATACTCCACTAAACATATTTGATCGTAGGGGTGCGTGATAGACTTACCTCCACGTGGTGCACCCTGGGCAACGTATACGCATACGGCAAAAAAGTCTATTAACTGGCGATTGACTTCTGGCGCAGTACTCATCCTACCTTTTCTCAGCCTTCATGTCTGTCTCTTTGCATCTGTAAATTACTCTTCTGTTCCCCACCCCTCGATTTTCTGTTACTTTGATGTTCCTTCCCCCTGTGAATCCCGAAGTCAGCTAAAGGGCTAATGATAACTATCAAAACGCCTGCCATTTGAAATAAATAAATAAATACATATTTGATCGTTGAAATGGATACAGAAACCTTGAGGAATCTACGAGTGAAGTTTTGAGCTAAAAGAGAAGATGAATGGAACTCAAATACAAGTCGAAATAGGCTTAAAAATGGCTAATCTTTCTGACTAAACAAAAGCTAATCTGGTAGTAGCAGGAAACCGGCTTTTTATCATATTAATGACCTCTAGAGGTTGTTATGAGTTTCCTAGTTCTGGGAAGACAAAGAAACGTGCGACTATGAGTATGACATGCGTTGACGCAGATATTAAATTGAGTTCTTCCCCAAGTGCCATCCAAGTAAACCAATGATGGGAGATCGAAAAACTGATAGTACCAAAGTTTAGTTAGTAATGTTGGCAGAGGTAGTTCTAACCTGTTATTTAGTTTGGCTGTTCATAATGCTTAAATACCGGGCATGCGATAGACTTACCTCCACGTGGTGCACCCCGGACAACG